GGCTCTTCCGGGTCTGTGAACGCGTCACAGTCCGGAGAGTCCAACATTGTAAAACTGTAACCTTTCCTGCCTTTTTTAATATAATTGATAAAACCTAATTGACGTCTCATTGATTTATTGATAGTACGAGTTGCCACTTCTGAGAGAGATAGAACCAGAGGAAGCGGTGGGGGCTGGCTGAGGGTCCAGGGTCAGAGAGGAAGCCTGAGGCCCACAGGTAGCCGTAGCTAGCTGCAGTGACTGACGACCCGCAGCCAGTTCTCAAAATGCAACAGAGTTATATGACAAAATGTTGAAGACCCAGTCAGGAGTCTAGCAGCAGCATTCTGTACAGACTGCAACCGGTCTAGGGTGGTTTTGGTTAAACAAGTGTACAGTGCATTACAAAACTCCAGGTGAGACGAAACAAAAGCATGAATTAACATTTTCAATTCTGGACGAGAAACAGTACGGCTAAGCTTGGCAATATTTAGCAGATGGTAGAAACAGGAACGAACCAGAGACTGTTTCAGACAGTTTTAATTTAATAAAATTCAGTTTATTTATATAGCACCAAATCACAACAAAGTTGTGTCAGTGCACTTTACAAGAACATTCACATACAAAGAAAAGCCAATTAGCAAGTTCTCTATCTAAGGAAGCCAGCAGACAAGTTGAATCTTCACTTCTTCACAGTCTCCCATCCTGAGCAAGCACAGTGGCAACAGTGGAAAGGAAAAACTCCCTTTTAAAAGAAAGAAACCTCCAGCAGAACCAGGCTCAGGACAAGCAGCCATCTGCTTTGACAGGCTGGTTTGAGAGGCCAGGAAGAAGAAACAAACGAGCACAGAATGGTAGGTTCAGATGTAGGTGCAGGTGTACCTGAAAGACAAAAACACATGTCAAGAATAGAAAAAAACAAAAAAAACAAATACAAAACAGGTTGAACAGAGTAAGTAAAGACAGTAGCAGAGTGAAAAAATGTGATCAGTTTGTTCTCCAGCAGTCTAAGCCTATAGTAGAAGAACTAAAGGGCAGCTCAGGAAACCCAAGCCGACCCCAACTATAGGATTTAGCAAAAATGAAAAGTTTTATTTGAGACACATGGAATGTAGGGTGAATCCTCCTTGGAGTCTGACTGCAGAAGGGTTGATGCGTCGGTTAATGGGGAAAGGGCCAATAAAGCGTGGGGCCAACTTTCTTGGGGTGTCGTCTAACTGGATGTCCTTGGTTGACAGCCAGACTCTTTGACCCACCTGATATGAAGGTGCAGAGGAGCGGTGGCGGTCGGCAAACTTCTTATTTTGAGCTGCTTTTCGTTGGAGGACAACTTTGGCTTGATGCCAAATTCTCCAGCATCGTCGAGAGTGGTGCTGAACTGAGGGGATCGCAATGTTGGTTTCTTGACTGGGGAATAAGCAGGGTGCATAGCCAAGGGGTGCTTTAAATGGTGACATACTTGTTGCCGATGACACGTGTGAGTTATGGTTGTATTCCACCCAGATCAGGTGTTGGCTCTAGGCTGAGGGGTTGTTTTCAACGATTCACTAGAGGGTGGTCTCCACCTCCTGATTTCATCACTCCTCCTGGCTGTTAGACTGTGGGTGGTAACCTGAAGTTAGACTGGTAAGCCCCCAGTGTATTACATAAGCTACTCCAAACCTGTGAGATGAACTGAGGAACACGGGCCGAGACCACATCTGAGGGTATGCCATGGATCCGAAACACATGCTGATTGTGGTGTCTCTAGGGCTTTGGGGAACTTGGGCAACTGAATGAAATGGACCGCTTTAGAAAACCTGTCGATCACAGTAAGAATTGTTGTGTTACCTTTTGACAGGAGTAGGCTGGTAACAAAGTCCACCGATATGTGGGACCAAGGACGGCTGGGTGTGGAGAGTGGTTGCAGAAACCCCAGACACCCCACCGGAGGCTGGTTGCCAGATTTATTTCTGGCACATGTAGTGCAGGTTGCGACAAACTGTCTGGGGTTTAATCGTTTTGTATCTCTGAGGTACATGAGGTTTTTGTGATCAGTTCATATTAAGAAGGGGGTCTCTGTGCCCTCTAGCCAATACCTCCAAATGCTTCTAGCCAAAGTAAAGGTTTAACAGGATGAAGACAATTTTATCTCTATTTGAACTTGTTAGAACAGCAGTAATTTCCCACTAACTGCAAATCTTTCTGTTTCAATATCTGGTTGAAAAGCAGACATGGCATTAAAGCCAAAATATATTTAATCAATGAAATAACCCATTCACAAAATATTTACACTTTTGTATTTGTTTACTGCAAACAAATTGTATGGTTTAAGCAGCAATTGATGTAACTCAAAACACTTAACTTTTATGCAAATGAAAAAAAAATACATCTACCTACTTTAGTAAAAATCTCTCAACTAGACTGAACATAAAAATTATTTTTGTTAGCGTCACTCGATATTTTTTCTTGTTGCTTGCACTATTTTTTTTTAAAAAAGAGCATTCACAAAATGACCAATATATTCATGCTCTGAGCCCAAAATAGGTAAGCCAATGTATCTTGGTTGTATCTTTTCCACTAAAAATTGAAAAAAAAATTGTTTTATCGTTAAAAAACTCCCCCATAAAACAAAAAAAAATGAAGAGCTACTTTTTACAGCAGGTAATGTCAATGTCAATTTAATTACTGGTATATAGCACATAAAAACAACAAACGTTGACCAAAATGCTTTACAATTGTGGGATTCCAGTAATCTGCAGTTCCTCCTATGTTAGGCAGGAACTCATGAGCTACAGCCGAGACCATTTTGGATGATGAGCTCCAGGACACCTTCAGGCTGCTGCCGTGTTCCTTCCAACGTTGGAGCATTACATACTAACTGGTATGGTGTCAACCCTTCTGTGTTTATTAGAAAGCAGAATTACTGTATACTTATGCAGCACACCTTTACTCTCATAGGTAAGGGCCACCTAGATTCTTATATGTAGCAATAAAGGCTAAATACTTTTTTACTTGCTGAACTTCAAGTCCAACATACCCTTTAACACACTCAGTTATGTCCTAATTTCCTTTCAATACACATCATAGTCATTTCACACACACTCACACACTCAAACTAAAAATAACCAAACCATAAGGTAAATGTGAACTCAGTTTACTGAACATGTGATTTTAAACACTGAATAAAACACAAAACTGCATCTGTAATCAGATTGTTCACTGTAAATCTTCAACTCTAGGGGGCCGCTCATCAATCTAACACACACCTACCGGCTTATCTAGCTCAAAAACCTTAAAGTTGCAGGCCTGAGTGAAGCTTGGGAGCAGTGAGGCCCAAAACTTAATGTTCCGTTTCACTCTATGAGCAGTTAAACAAAAGAAGGCAGTACCTGGTTCAGTACAGACTCTGGTCCCAGTTCAGGTGAAGAGGAAAACCAAACGATGTCCTGAGATGGCGATGCAATCATTCGTGTTCTGGTCCAGGTTTAACTCCAATGAGCAATATCCAGGAAGTGGAAAAGAAAAAATATACAATCCAAAGGCTGGCAGTCTATAAACACTCCAGTTATTCACATCAAGACCGGAATGATGAAGAGGCGTCTCTATAGTAATCTGAGCAAGCTAAACTAGGTTTCCTGTGCAGCATTCACTTAGCTGATGAATGCTAAATGTTCAATGTTAAACTGCCTCAAAGTACAAAAACACAGAACTGCAGGACAAACTTTGAGCTGAAAATGTCCCGTGTGGTCCCAAATACCATCAAACAAGTGTCCATTACCGATCAGTGGGTTAACAATCAGGAAACTTATTGAATTACTTAAGCTGCAGCACACCTGCTGCCTCTGGTGTGCGTGGCCTCCCCATCACTCTCGTCAAGCACTACCCCGACTGCTCAAGGTCAAGGTCATGGACATGGGCGCCAGCGAACCCCACGACCCAAAAAAGCAGCGGGTAAAGATAATGGATGGGAGAACCTCCCTCCTGCTGCGTGTCATCTCTGCTCTGTCACGCCCACTTCTCTGCTGTAATCACACTCATCACGTCAATCCCTGTCTCCCTCCTCCTGTGTAAATAAACAATTTAAATACTGTAATAGTTTCAATAAAAAAATCTATGCTGCATGAGCAGCAATGTTTATCTTAATCAAGTGCGATCAGAACCGAGCCTTTAGTCCCCCTTGGCTAACGGTCAGGCCACTGGGAAATGTCCTGATGCTTCCAATGGCCAGTTCGTCCAGCTGCAGTAGGCAGCAGGATGGTAGGTAGCAGCTGCAGCACCTGTGCACAGTTTAAATTTTTTTTTGTGTGTGGGCTTCGCCTCTTAAGTGCTCCAATGTCTGCAGATTGTCTGATCTCATGCCTGAAGTAGTCCAGCGTTTTTGTTCCCGTTCCGTTCCTGACCCACTTCATGACGAGGGTTCCTTCCCTTTGCCTCCCTAAAACGGATTCTTCTGACGCTGAGAACTTGTTTACTGATATTTTATTAAAAGCTTTGTGTAAAAAATGCTATGCTTGAGCTCAAACCACACCGAGCGTCCACCATATTGAGAACCGAAAAACAGTAACGAGAGACAGCCCATGTCACGTCAAGGGGCCTCCCTCCCATTTTTCTTAAAAAGACATGCTGCTTGCTCCCTCACTATCTATCCTTCGGTTCAAACAGTCTCATAGTGCCATCTGGTGGTCAAAAAAAAAAAAAAAGGTACTACACACAAAACAAATTAACCCACATTTCTTCTTAAATTTGACAATTACTAATTGTCAAATTTCAAACATTATCGTTTATCGTAATTATTCCTGAGATAATTAATCGCCCAGCAAAATTTGTTATCGTGACAGGCCTAACTGTGGATTCTAAAATTTGCTAAAGCCAAAAAAGGGCATTATAAAAGTTTTCAGGTCTGTTAATTCTGCTGTTTATTCATCAAAGCACGTAGCAAGTTTTATTCAGAGCAAAGTGTCAGTAAAGAAAAATATAACGTACATCTTTAGCGCCAAAATAAAACCAATACAAATCCATTACAGCAGATAAGACGAGTTTCAGTTTCAGAAAAGCTTTATTGGCTATTTTCATGTGATGACCTAGAGCAATACGTTTCAATTTTTCCTCACCCATCATAACACCAATAAAGAAAAAAAAAGCAGACAGTCATTATATGACCAATAGATATGCTGATCTTTTGAAAAACTGAACTGGAAACAGATTCAGAGCCGGAGCAGAGTGAGCTGAACATATAAACAAATTCCTGACCTGCATCTCTCTCTGCTCATAGAGCTTTGGCTCTCACAGGGTTAATCATGTATGTACATTCTGAGGACAAACACACTCAAATAAAATCAGAATAAAGTCTCTTCCTTCTAACTCTTTGTTTGCGACCAAAACAATTTTCTTCAATCAGAAAACGTTTGATTAAAAATAGCAAATTTTTCTTAATTCCATAGACAAAAACAAAAACCAACAAACAAAAAACAAAACAGGGAACACTTTGCTGCTTAATATCTTAGATTTTACTATCTGCTTTCTTTTTAATGTCAAACAGATTTAGGTATTTCTATTAAACTGGTAACTTTAGAAAAACAAGTACACCAAGAAAAACAGAAAACACATTTCTGCTCTCAAGTTCAGAACAATAAATCTAACATGTTGCATGAAGAGCATCCAAGGAAGTTAGATCCATCTGTCCTCCTCCTGCATGTTTGGGTCTGTTTGGGTTGAAGGGCGCCTTGGCAGTTCTGGAAGGATTTGTGGGACTTTTGTGGATGAACTCTGATCTGAGCTCAGAACCTGAGGTGAGATTTGTGTTTCATCATGTATCTGATAAAACCAGAAGAGACAGGAACCAAGGTTAGTTTTGTTTACAACCCCCCCCCACCCCAAAATATGTACATATGTATAAGTGTGTAAAAAACATACTTGTCAAGGGTTTCCCAAAAGTGCAGGAAGACGGACCGCTCGACGTGGCATTTGTGGCGGCTCAGCTCCAACACGGTCACATCCCATTTCTGCACATTGGGGTCTGTTTTTGCTTCATCGTATTTCAAATGAAAAGCTCGAACTGGAAGAGATCAAAATATTCAGGAAGTCAGAAAGCTTCAATTGGTGACAACAAACCTAAAGAAATCTTTAAAACTAAAAAGCAAAGCGATTTTTGAATGGCATTAGTCATTGTCAGAACCAAGAAAGAAAAACGGTGAAAAATGGTGATACTGGGAAAACGGAAACAAAACGTTGCATGAGAGCAATTTATATAGAAACTATCTTTGTTTTAAATTATTATCGGTTAGCAACTTCTGCAGTATGGTCATTCATTTGATTAGTTGTATCAAAGTATCCCAAAATAGCTGAATGCTGTTCTGTTTTAGCTGAAAATTTAAATCATGTTGCAAGAAAAAAGTTTACACTAGCTATGTTTGTTTAAAAATAATGGACATCCATGTAAACTGCTCAGTTCCCATTTCTGCTGCATTTTGTCTCTGTGGAGACACCTGCTGTACAACGAGGGGACTGCATGTCATTTTCACTTTGTTGACCATGCACCTCATTCACTTCATTACAATACATGAGCCGTTTATTCTATTTTAGTGTCTGTAGAAAAATATGCTTCAGCAAGTAAAATGTGCTTTGTACTCATAAACTTGTGACTTTTGCTTGTGAACTCTTAAACCTTATGTGCCAAGAACTAAAAAAGGAAATGTTTTTGGTAGAGCCCGACCAATATATCGATAAGGCCGATATGGGCCTTTGGGGACCTATTGGTATCGGTGATAATTGCTCCATTATTGGCCAATATAAGCGCTTCTAATTTTCACCCCTAAAATGCTGGAACCAGCTGTAATTGTACAATGTATCCAGCAGAGGATGCATGAAGACCACTTTCAAGTCATTGCTGTTCACTTAGGTTTCACTTTCAGGGCAGGTGAAGCAGGTAGCAATTGTGTAGCGCATTTTGCTGAACAGAGCATGGAAAGTTTATTATAATTGATCTGTAAAATTAAATAAATCAACAATAATAAAATCTCTTCAATTTTCCAACCCGTTCGTGATTAGCTACGTGCTTCTCAAGTTAGCAAGCTAACGTTTGGATAACCTAGCAAGGGCTATTGCCTTGTAAAACTTTATCCAGAACAATAAATCTAATGTAGAGGTAAATATATCAGTGTTAGTAACGTTATCTTTGTCGTCCTCAATGAAATGCATTGTTTGTCTGAAATCTTTACTTCTCTGCAATAAAAAATAAATCCCTGCTGCTGTCAGTACTAATTAGGCCTTCACCATACGTGACTGACTAAACAATGAACAGGGAAGGGTGTTTGTTTTATATTTTTTGTAACACACTTGATAACTTTATGGTGAATAGTGGAGGATAGAAAATGTGAACACACATCAGGAAAACTGTTTTTATGACCACTGCACCACTTGTAATTCTACTGTGGGACTACGTATAGCATGGATCTGATCAGCTTAGCTTCATGGTTGCCAACAGCTGTGCGAAATAAACAAGCCCCACTCCACTCACTGTTTTCTTAAAGATTCTTGGGGGTGGACAAAGCAAAAAAAAAAAAAAAAATCAGCCAATATATCGGTTATCGGCAGTCACATTCCCTGCCCAATATCATATTGGCGATAGCCAAAATTTCCATATCGATCAGGCTCTAATGTTTGGTTAAGTGGTTTTCTTTCTTTCTGGTAGTCACTTTTTTATGAAACTGAATGGTGATGGGGGTGATGGAGAGTCACAAATCTGAGACCATTCTGTGCAGCTGCAGGACCACCTACTCACTTCATCCTGTCATGAATACAAAAACGTAGAGGAAGCCACATAGGCATGTCTCTTTAGCCAGCTTAGCTAGATAAAAACAACGCTTTAATGTAATAGAAGTTTTGCGCTTTTTCGGGATGCTTATATAACGCCTGCCGATGCTTCCTCTGTGGGCAACTCTTTCTACAGGATATGCAATGTGCTTGCAAAACTTCTGCTCCCTCATGAAAATTGTACTACCTTAAACTTGAGTTCAAAGTAGTTGGAGAATTGTAACTGAATCCTGTTACATGACGGCAAAAGACGTATTTTTCTGTAAGACCTTTTCTAAATGACATCAAACAAATTTGTTAAAATGTGAAGCTGCTTTCATTACCCTTATAATCATCTGTGAGAAGAAAGCAGAACCAGTTAGAACCTGAGAAACGTTCATGTTGGACAATGTGTTACTGTTGCAGAGGAAGTAGTGACACATTGCACAAACAAGCACAGCTGACTGGATATTGTAAAGAGCCTGTGTCCCATGATGACTGCAGAAATAAAAGACCTGCTTCACCGTGTGTGGATTGGGAATATTATTCTGTGATTTGTAAAAAATGGCACATAGTTTTCCCTGTCAGCATTGTGCCTCCAAATGTGTTAGAAAGTTAAATATTTTGGTGAACTTCAGAGAAAGATTTCACTGTATGGAGGTTGGAAAAAAAAAAGGTGCTAACAAATTATTGCTAGCTCAGTCTGATCAATAAGTTTTGCTCTGTTATTGCTTATTATTAGTATTTTTTTTCCTTCTTCTTTCAGCTGCTCCCTTCTTCAGGGGTTACTACAACAAACAAACTCACACAAAGACTTGGCAATTGTTTTTGTTTTATGTCCTTCCTGATGCAACCACAGCCCTCTGTGTGGAGCAGAGAGCTGCCATCTAGGGTGCCCAGGGGAGCAGAGGGTGGGGGTTAAGGGCCTTGCTCAGGGGCTCAGTGTGGAGCAAATGAGGTTGGAGCACAGGTGTGGGTGCTTCAGCTTTGCCACCCACATTTTGATGTTGTCGGTCCAGGGAGTTGAACCAGCGACCTTCTATTATTTGTATCATTCTGTCACAGAAATATTATTCATAAATTAGACAAGTAAACAGCCAAAACTTGTGTTTTCTGTTGTGCTTATGTGCATTTTCATATTATAGTTGGTAAAATCTACAAAGATGGACCAAAAGGCCACGTGTGGCACATTAAACTTTTGGGATTTCAGTTGTTGTACATATCAGTTTACCTCCTGCCTTCATTCTGAGCTCTGCTTAGCTAAGTTTCCTGAATATAAATACATTCCTACTGCTTCTCCAAATTGAGATCATGCTGACTGCACTATCATTGATCTATTTTCTATTAACTCACTTTTGGCAAAAATGTCGACAGGAGATCCGTCAGGCAGCAGCCACGGCCAACCTTTAAACTGCCAGGCGGGTCCTTGCACGAAGACTGCCACCACTCGATCCCTGCAGGAGCACACATCCACTCAACATCACAACTTCAAGAGCAACAAACAGGAGAAACCCTTCAATGTTATTCAAATATTCCTTAAAAAAAATACCATTCAGAAGGTTGGTGTACACTTCCTATCTGCTTTATGAGACAGAACTGTGATTTTTCATTCAACTTTTATTTATACAGGTTAGTGTCATGGAGTCACGAGGACTCATTTTCAAGAAAGACCTGTTTAGATGAGTTATGTCTTCACTTTAGACAGACCCATTCCACCATCAGCAGCGTAACAACAAACTGTAGCTGTCCTATGTTTAAATGTTTTCACTCTTTGGCATCAGCTCACTCTGTCTCAGTGATAAAGGGATCAGTGTAACCAACATTTAGTTTTCTTTAGGGAAAATGTTGACACCAATACAGAATGCTTAAAGATGTCTTCGGATAAACAACAAAAAATTAATAAAAATAATAAATGTAATACAGCTGTCAGCCTTTTCTTTTTGGCCACTCATAAACCACCTCGTCTGCGTTTCATTTATTGGCAATCAAAATAAAACTACAGAGACGTCCCATCTGAACTCGTGCATCAGATTATGGAACAAAATGCTGGGATTAAAGGAACAGTTTTTGTTCAACACTTCTGCATAACTAACATTTTAACTAAAGCTTTTAGAACAATTTTAGTTTAGATAAAGTTCGACTTAAAATATATATGATGTGGCTACAGCTAGTCTGAAAGCAGCTAAAAGCTGATTGTCTGCTGAAAATGGCTTTAGTCATTACATTTTACTACAAGTAATGCAAACACTATTATTTAAACTTGAACATAGCTGTCAATTTCAAATTACACTGTAATTTCAGCAGAAATAACAGGGAATTGCTGCTGGACATGAGCAGGAACAATCACAGAATTCTAAATATGATAAAAATAGAACCCAGGTGAGCTGCTAAAAAATTAGGATTGTTTTAGGATGGCAGAAATCCACAATATTCTTAAGTCACATTTGGATTAGTTGTTTGTGCATCAGTCCAGACTAGGGCTGCAACTAAAGATGATGTTTGTAATCGACTAATTTTAATCTGTCTGCTCACTATGAGTGAACCTTCTGCTATGTGCTACAGCTCATGTTTTACCTCGTAAGCCCTTCTGTTCTGGTTGTGCATTGCGCTTACCTAAACCATTTCATGTGGATCATTATGACAGCAGCAGTCTATTAATAACTGTATTTGATGCGCTGGCAATTAAAATCCATGTCAATTTTTTTGTAGTCAATAACGATTCATCGTTGCGCCCTAGTCCAGGCAGGATTAAACTCTCCAAACTGAGGTCACTAAGACCCATCTACAAAAAGTACTAATTATTCAGAATTGATACGCAGACCACTTTAAAATGTGCAATAACCCTTCAAGGCAAATACAAACAAAATAAAGGTCTTTACTGCAGTACATGTATTACTCAAATTTAAATATTTTTTAAAGCTTTTTAAAAACTATTAGGGCAGAAACTGATCAAAACAGGTGGTTTTATTTTAAAGCAACTTAAAACTCACAACACTCTGTGAAGCCGAGATGAACTTTCTGTGAAAATACTTTTTATTAATATTCACAATAACATTTTTATTAAACAAGCTAATAAGTAAATGAAAATGCAAATGTAGAAGAAATTCAATGGCCTTTTTAAATGGATCAAAATTAACAAAATATATTTTTTCTTTGCGCTGCAGAGTAGAGCTGTCATTTCTAACCCGAACCCGGCCCCGCCCGACTTGGATTCGGACTGGGCCATAATAACGTGCTTAATGTGTGGGCTGGGTCCGGCTTTTTATTGCGCCAGGGACGTGCGCGGCCGACGATCCAATATATGCAAACATGGCTTGCCATAGTGCACCTGCCGCACGCGGCTATTTGATCGCGCACTGACCGGGCAGTTGAAAGAGGTAAAAAGTTCAGTTCAGCTTCAGATGGACTACTGCCAGCGATCCATCAGCCCAAATGGACGTTCATTCAGCTGCTGCACTCAGCGGACGCACGCGGCCGATGACCCAAACAGGTGAGATCACAAAATATTCAACATACATGTCAGAGCAGGGTTAAATGCAGGCAAAAGCAGGGGAAGCATTTAATGCACTTTGATGGCTCCTCAGCTCTGATCTTCTGTCCCCTCAGCCGCGCGCGTCCGTCAACCATTAATAATAGTCGGTGGTATAAGCAGACAAAGCTGAATTAAAAATATCCGGGGTTTTTTTTCGGGTTCAGACCTGTAATTACTGCTAATTCGTCAGACCGGGTGGGGTTCAGAAATGATGGCTGCGGGCTGGGGCCGGGTCGATTCAGATTATTTGGACCCGAGTGCAACTCTACTGCAGAACTACTGATGCATCACTGATTAAAAAACTTCAAAAACCTAATTTCAGTGACAGAAAATACATTTTAAATGGCCCCAAATGATACCAGAGTGAAAATTTTGACTGGGACAACACAATTTGCCCAGTTAAGTCAACACTCAGATGAACAGAATATTGTTCACACATAACTTGATTTTTCCTAAATGATGATAATTTAAAAAAAAAATCAACATAAATTTATACAAAGTTTCTGCAGCGCAATGTTTTGTCAAAATGATGTAATGTGCTGGTCTTCAAATTATTGACCTTTAAGTTTACAGATTTACTGCTTGTTGCACTGCATGGTTTGTGTAGTTTGGGTTGGCATTCACGAATGACGGACACTTTTCTACTTAAATGAGGAAAGAGAATGGCTTTGACAACCTTTGTATGTCACAAACATGACAAGAGAGTGTCGTCTTATTCCTTTAACAGTAGTTCAGTGTAATAAAAATACCAGTGTAATAAAAATACAGATGAGAGAAAATAAGTAAACTGAAAAGTAACATATTTTAATCTGAAAAGGTCAGATTTCTGAACCAACTTGATTACAGCTGAAACACAAGGCCACTTAAACACAGAACTTGTTTATAACACAAGTTACAACAAGTGTAGAAAGTCTTGGGACTTCCTCCTTTTAGAAAAAATGTGTTGCAATCTAATGCAACTAATTTTTCCCCTCAGTAATGTACACTCAGAACCCCCATAATGAAGTGAAAACAGGACTTGATACGGTCCTGATGCTGCTCAATAATCCAGGTAGATAAATCTAACGAGGGTGAGTCAGGTCCTCTGGACGGATTCTTCTTTTTTAAACATTTCGCCTTTTATCCAGAAGACTTCTTCAGTCTGAGGTGCTGCAACAAACTCAGTCTTATAAGCAGCACCTCCTGTTGCCATCCGCAACAACAAAATATCAGAGTTTGAAGCAGAACGACTTGGAAACAAAGTTTCAGCTGCCTCAGCAATGCCAAACCACTACCTTCCAACATCAGTAGAGAAGAGAGGGATGCACTCACCACTCTTAGCAAGGACAAAAACATCATAATTCTCCCAGCAGACAAAGGAAGGTGCACAGTGATTTTGAACCAGAAAGACTATCATGAGAAACTTATGACACTCCTGAGTGACTTAAACACTTATGAACCTCTGAAAAGAGATCCAGGAAATGGTAACAAGAAGTTAAGAGTTATTGAAAATTTTGGAACAGGACAAGGCTATTGACCATATTCTGTACCACAGACTGTACCCAGGGGAGGCCACACCTAGTCTGTATGGTTTACCTAAAATCCACAGACAAGGTGTACCTTTAAGACCAATTGTCAGTATGATTAACTCTGTCACTTACAATGTTTCCAAATATCTGGCATCTGTACTCATCCCTTTAGTTGGCAGCTCAGAACACCACATACAGAACACCATGGACTTTGTGGATAAGGTGAGGGATGTCATCATGGAGACTGATGAAACAATGGTCTCTTTTGATGTCACATCACTCTTTACGTGCATTCCTGTTGATGATGCAGTAGAGGTGGTCAGTTAAAGATTAAAATCAGACACCACTCTGAGCAGCAGGACCACGCTTTCCACAGAACAACTGTGTCAACTCTTGAAACTGTGCCTGCAGTCAACCTACTTCACATATAGGGCTGAGTACTGAACCGAGGTTCTTTTATGGCACCGACCGAACTGCACCGGTCGGTTATGTATTGAAACATCACTCTTCTTTTGGTGTCAAGTTTCGGTAATGGCTGTAACGTGTCACGTGGTTTCAGCATGCAGGCAGGCAAAACACCAGACATATGACAAACAGACTACACCCAGATTACATCAAGAGCTGTACAGAGCTGCTGTACCTAATCTATGTATAATGTATGTATAATGTATGTCTATGGTGCTGGTGACGCCCACAGACGGGTTCACGTGTGCAGCACGTGTTGTCGAACGGCTTCGACAACACGCGAGCAGAAAGTTGCTCCGTGTTTTTCTGCGAGGAGAGAGTATTTCAGCAGCCTACCCCTCCTCCTCTCAGCATTAAAGTCAGCCTGTGAGAGCCTGAACGTCCAGATTCATGACTCTTCATCAAAGAACTTCGAGGACAGCTCTGTGACTGTGCTTCAGCTGGTGAGTTTACGTTTGTTAGCGTAACTGCAGCTTAACACGTACATCGCGGTGAAATAAATTCTGATCCATGTAACGCTAACTTTAAGATATTAGTGTGTAAATTTATTTTATCTACGTGGCTAGCTAAACTCAGAAGCTAACTAAAGATTGACAGTAACATAAATCTTAGCTTGTAAAACTGCTCATCCATCCAGTCAGCTGCTTAAACAGTTCACTAATGTTCACGGTTTATGTTCATCTTCTCCTCACAGGAGGTTCTGACCCAGATGTGAGGAGGACAAAAGAAAAGTGAGGTGGGGGCCACAGGACAGTCACAAACTTTGTTGTTAAAAGTTTGCTGCTTTTTCTACAGTGGAGCTGCATGGTGGAGGTAAGTTGAACTGTAAAGGATTTTGTTGACCAGTTGTGCTTTTATCTCTCAGCCTAGATAATGTTTTTTGAGTAATAATAACACAACCATGTTATGGTTGATCTTTTGTTCTCATGTGTAGTGAGTCACGTGGGTA